CACACACACACACACACACACACACACACTTTGTGTGGGTATTTGTGGGGACCTAAAATTTTGATATTCGTTATTAATAAAAAGAGGTACAATTCTCTTACGCTTGTTCCGAAGTTCTTTATCAATTTGATTAGTATATACTTGTTTTCTGCACCCGGAGGAAGGACCATCACAGACCTTGTGGGCTCTACTCTCAGATTGTGTCGCATGCATAAAACCTTTAGCATAAATGACTTTGTTTTAAGGAAAGGTTTCATTGTGCAGTTTTTGCCCATACTTTTGAAATATTTATTCATATCTTTGATGTATGTTCTTACTTATGTAAGAATGTATTTTTCAATTTTTTATTTATTTATTTATTTGTGTATGTTCTTCACAAATCTGAAAATACAGCCCAAAACATTGTAATGTGCACTCGTAAACTTACACGCTCATATTGTTATCTTGGCTTTGGCAGAGTTCAAGCTATATTTTTTTCCTCTCTTTTGCCTCTCTACTGTACCAATCTCATTATCTTGATATGAGGAATGGAATCAATAAGAATTAGTTGGTATGGTAAATTTTCTACCATTTATGATTATAGTCGAAATAAAGTTGGGGAAGGGATTAATTGCGTTTTAAATCTTTCATTTATTAATCCAGTATTTTTATGCTTTCTCAGATCAAAATACACTTTAGATTTTAAACAAGTATTTGAACTTTTTAAGCATACTTCTTTATTTATTATTTTAATCTTGAATCTAATTGGAGAGTGAAACTTCAGGAACAAAATTTTTTTTAAGGAGACGCACTTGGGCATTTTCCTGTTCTGTGCATATTCAAACCTCCTGTATTGGATACACATTATTCTTAATGGGATCATGATGCGTTAAACATTCACTATGCAATCAAGGCTTTTAGTTCATATTCATGCACTTTGGACTATATGATGGGTTGAGATTGAAGGATACACATATAGACAAAAAGAAATTATTTGTTTGAAGATACCAAATTGATTTTATTGAAGGCATATTTGGCCTTCAGTTCTTTTCTTATGGGCCAGTATGCATTTTCAGTTGAGGAAAAGAACGTTTGAGCTCCACCAAAGCCCAGTGGATGCACCTTGAAATGTCTGTAATAGCATGCCATGGGTTACTTTGCAGCTGATTGGGTGTTTATTAAGTGAAATAGTTATGACAAAAATAAAAAAGATGAATTTGAGTATCTCATCTTTTACCATGATCATTTCACTGCTTCTGTCGTGGAATGTATTTGAAATATCAGATAGAAAACATTGCAAACATCTCATGCATCATTGCATAGATAAGAGGGAAAAAAAATTGACATTCCTCTCCCACAGCATCTTTAAAGGGTGTTCTGGTGCGGGTGAAGGTATGCGCTGCGACTCGGTCAACAGCCTAGGGGGACATGAACCTGGCTGCCCTTCAGCCCAGGGTTCACAGGGATCCAGGCATTTGCTCGATGACTCCGAGCTGGACCCTCCCCCCCACGACTGCACCTCCCCCCCGTCTCTCACGCGCACCTGGTGGGTAGGCTAATGAAACCCATATTAAACTTTGTGTGTTGTGTTTACATGTGGTATAGGCATATAGAGGAAGTTTCTAGGTTTTTTGGGGGGTTATGCGTGTCTGTGATTTGTGGTTGTTTTCAGAGATAATGGTATTAGGAGCAGGAATAGCAGCAGTAGTTTTAGTATTAGCAAGGGTGATATCATGTGTATTATTTTTTTTATAGCTGTATTTTATTTTTAGCTATCCATCTTTTATTACAACTTGTGTTGAATATACTCTCCACTTTCTTTTTCCCATGTTTCTGGGGGATCAGCTTATCTGCTGATGCTTGTCTATGCTTCCTTGTCATCTGCTTTTCATTCAGTGATCATTTGCTCTTAAATTGTCTTTGTTTCCCTCCTTCCACCTTCCCGCTGATGTCCTCTTCTCCTAATGCAATCTACTGGCATACCCATCACTTGTCTACCTATAGACAACTTCTTTTTTATATTGTTTATGAGTATAACTTTTGCTTTTGTTATCCTTCTGATTCTGTAATTTGTATTGTGCCATGTTTTATAGCCATTATATATAGGACAAAATCCATCACATCAGTTTACATTCTTGAATGTTATTGATAGTCTATATTTAGCCAGAGTCTTCACTACATGCATCATAATTGTCATGGACAGCACTCCAGATGCCCTTTTCCATTTCCTGCGGCCCCTTGCATTCTGTGCATTAACTCTGTATCAATGCCTGGGCCTTTGATACTGTAGATGCCAAGATATTGAAAAGTATCTACTAATAAAAATATTTCCCTTTGCCTTCCTTTATCTAAATATTTAATTCCTCAGCTATTATTTTCTTTCTGTTCCAAGGTGCCACATCTTTAATCCTTTCACTCTGTACATCTATGATCATACCAAAAAGAACTGGTCTTGTAAAAGATACGTGATGTAATGCAGGGGTGACAGTAGTTATTCATCAGAGAGGTATCTCGCTAGTCTTTTATTCTTTCCCAGCTCATGTTTTTCTTGAACCTTCTCTACACTTTTAGATACATGTTATCTTTGCCCACATAATATGTAAATGATTTTTTGAAATTCTTATTTCATTTATCTTCTTCAGTTAATGCAAAACCAAGGTATGGAAAGACTTCTTTGTTGGTGATTTCACTATCAGCGTCCAGTCTGTTTTCTCCCGCGAATAACTCTGTCACCAACCATGAAGGAGAACGAATTGTCTCAAATTGCAGTAGTTTGTTAACATTGACAGCAAGCTGGATGTTGGAACTGTTTTTGATGAATTTGGTCAGGTGAAGCAGACCAAACCAACCCATAGCTAGCTCTTGTTTCTCTTCAAAAATGCACCTTTAAACTACGATAGGCCGAGCTTGGATACTTCACACTGGGAAAGACCAAAATATGTAGCCAGAACTAGGATAGGCCAAAATGGAGGTATCACATACTAGGATTTGGACATTGGATATCAAATATTTTGATTGACCTTTGCTTTCCATTAATTCTTCATAAATTTTAGTAGCATTCAGTATCACCTTTACCCCCTAGGGTTTTTGCAATCCTAAATACTTTTCACTTGCTTCTCTTGTTTACTGATCATACCCATCCAGTCACACAGTATGTCTGCTCCCCTGAACTCTTCCAGACTTTTGCTGACAAACCTGTGGATCCTGCAGTTTGGTCATGTCTCATTCATTGTAGAGCCTCCTTGACTTCTTTTCTACTTGTTTCTTTTGTTATTTATTCATTTGAAGTATTATCCTCAGTCACACCTTTTTTTGTTGCTGTTTATTAACAGATTTGTATAGTATTCTTTCCATGTTTCTTTGGTGCAGTTTATCAAGCTATTGCCATTGATCTTCCTTTCCCTTCGAGCCATGCATCTGTTTTAGATCCTGTATTTACCCTCCTGTAGACCACCTTCTCCTACTTTCTATAGGATGCTTTCCCACTTCTTTTTTCACAACCCTTTTCCTCTTCATGTTGTGGACATCACCATTCCTCCAATTTGTTTCTTTGTCCTAAGCCATTCCATGTTCCAATTGTTTTCTCTGATATTTTAATAGTACTTTTCCTGTCCCACTGCTCTTGTGCCTTTCCCTGCACCTACAGCCTTCACTAATTGTCTCAAATCCCCCTCTTTCAGTCTGCATCACACAATCCTAAGGGAACAACTTTGTGGTTTTCCTCTTTCTTGACAATTCCTGACAGGCACCAACATTCTCCCTATATATCCTTGCAGTCTTTCCACATAAAATAAAGTGAACCTAACTTAATGTTCCTTTGTTGCTGGGGGTTGTATACTGATTCACTTTTTTGTGTAAGTGTATACCTATTATGCTCAGATCAAAGACCATAGGGCAATGTGCAACATTTTTTCCTACATTCTCAGTAGCCATTCTCCATGAACTCTTTCCTTCCAACTTCTTTCATCCTAATGTGTCCATTAAAGTCAGATCTATTCATTTCCCTACCTCTTCCTATGCTAAAAATCCTTATGGTTACAGGAATTTGAATTAGTCATAGTGAAAATGAATAATTTTTATCAAGTCTTGTTTTTGAAAAGATATATTACTACATATATAAATTGAAGACAGAATATGAATTAATTTTTGTAATTTGCTTCATCATTCTTCCTTCTTAGTATCTCATAACCACATAAGTAACCAACCCCAGGCAATAAAATGGACAGTGACTAAATAAATTGCCTACTACCTCCAATAGGTCAGGCCTGTCATCAGACTCTGACACCGAGGTTGTGTTTGAGGTGAGCGGCGAAGAGTGTGGCGTCCAAGGCCCTCTAAGACGCAAAACAGTTATCAAGGATGGACGCAGACCTGCAGTAGCAGCTTGGCATCGGTACTGGGTGAGTTTGGAAAGAATTTTCTGCACTTGAGGGTTAGGGTGATGGATGGAGGTTTGCCATGGTACATGGTTTTAAGGTTTTATCCATAATATTAGTTTTACAGGCATATGAGAAGAACGGGTAACATTTTACGTCATTGAAATTACCTTATTTATCACTCTCCTTTGAGAGGAATTAAATTCTTGCTTGGCTCTTTTTCTTCTTTTTATTCCCTCTTTTCATAAAAAGAAATGTTTGCTGTAGCTGCTGTGGCATATTATATGTGGAGTGATTTTAATGCAGTGAGGAAGAATGAAAGGAGACTAGCACCAATGCACTTGATGAAGCTCCTAGTAATAACCGTGTTTCTCTCCCCCTTGCAGGTCCAGCTCTGGGGTGGAGCCCTTGTCTACTACCATCCAAAGAGCTTGACGTCAAGAGGCCAAGAGAGAGCTGACTTCAAAACCTCTCCTTGCAAGCTCCAGCCTCTGGTCGGGCAGGCGGGGAAGCTCGTCCTGGTAGGACCACAGGATGCCCAATCCCAGCCTGACGTGTTCCCTTGGTAATGTCATCGCAACCTTTGTTTTTTTATATGCGCATTTGTGCTCTTTTCCTTTGGGTTGGTGGTGGCCCTGAGGATTTCTTCGGATTGCCTTGTCCAAGAAGGTAGTATAAGCACAAAATGACTTTTTTTTTCATGCCTTTACCTAATCTACTTTAGAATAAGGTATGAATAAGAACTGATGAATCATATTACATGATATGTAAATGAAGTTTTGCTTTTCACATCCTCAGAGATGATTAAACCCTGAAAATACAAAAATCAAAATTTTGTTACATGTCCTACACTGTGGAAATGTTCATTTCTATTCATATTTTATTTTACATTGGCACAGCTTGCTACATTGTGAAGCTTTTACCTACCTATTTGATTGTTATGGTTATTTTCATTTACTTATTTCTAAAAGATATTACTGAGTTGAGGGAATATAGGTAGTTGATTGGCCTTATAACACATCTCTCACACACCTTCCTTTTGTATGGGGTGCCATGTTGAATACATGCATTGAAGCCTTGTTTTGGATTGCTTTCCACTGCAGTCTTTGAAACCCCTTGCTGGTGCTCTGTTTAAGTGAAGAATTCATATGACAAATGCATTGTATTCAATATTTTTAGACTTTTTGAAGTTGATCCCTTGCAGACTTATTTCACGCCTCATTCTTCCTGTTGTCATTTTCCGAACAGTTTCAAAAGGAAGAAAGAAAAAAAATAATGAACAGAATTCAGCAAAAGTACTGTGAGGAAGGATTAACATTGTTTTTTTCGGCAATAACTATGATAACTGCTATAGCTTCTATGTTTTGCAATAACTATGATAACTTTTCTTCAGCTTCTGTGTTTCCAGTAGCACTATTTACTCCTCAAATTCACAATTTCTAGGTTGTATGGAAAAGTTTATGATGTGGTTGTAAGATTATATACTTCAACTGCCTTGGCTTTGTGAAGCTTTGTTAGAGATAGATTGTATTTCTAATCATTTGCATTGTTGTGAGAGCATTAAGGCTGACCAGAGTGTCAAAAATGTTTATATATTCATATATTCACTCTTAACTTTTTGATGATAAGCTATTTGTAAAGAATCCAGAGAGACTTACTGGATCTGTAACCCTTTTGGAAAAGACAGAACTGAATAATTCACTGAAACAATGCCCCTAAGTCAGTGTTCTGGCTTAACCCTAACTATGCTCTGAACATTGTTTACTTCTTTGCTTTGCCTGTCAAATCACAAATAACAAGCAAGTTTTAAATACTATTAGATGACTGCTATACTCTTCCAAGGGTTCAGTTATATATTCATGTGCTAGACTTGTTTTCTTATGAAATGCTAATGAAGGCTTTTGAATGGCAATTCCATCTTACATGGAAAAGTGGTACAATTTTTCACTGATGTTAGTTAGTCTCCTCTTCTTTCTTGTTCTGCCTGTGCTGCTGTTATATTAAGCTAAGTAAATTGCTAATTAAATTGAGTCATTTGAATTTTAATGCCAAATAAGGCTGAGTTTCCACCCATATTACAATGAAATCTTGTTGGTTTAGCTATTACTGATAAAGGATTGTGGATCAGTTATATTCTGTGTATGACTTCTTTATGATCTTGACTCATAAATAATAGTGTGTAACGTGACTAATTGTACATACTTCTTTAGTTCCCCTTGCTCTCATCAACATTCTCAATATGGGTATAGTCGGAATTACTTTGTAATTCTAGTAGGAATATTACTAACTGCTTTTTCATTATTTAGATGGTGTCTTCTTAACCTCCTTGCATCCATTTTTTACAGCTTTCAGACCCAGCGAAAGCAACTATATACAAGTTCCGAGCACCCTCCGTGTCTGCTGCCAAGTCCTGGATTTCCAACCTTCAGCAGGCTCTGACAGAAAACACTCAGAGACCCCCAGAGAACCTCATTACTTTCGAGTAACGGTGCAGTTGGTCTGGGATCAGTGTTTAAGAGATGTTTGTTTTTCATGACTGAGGAGGAGGAGGAGGAGGTGTCAAGAAGTTTCACGCACAGGTCCATACCTCAAGTACTCAGCAATGCAGACTAGAAAAACTGTCCATAAGAATTGGCTGGGGAAAGCTCAATATGTGTGTGATTCAGTGGTTGTATAGCATTGAAATAAAGAGACAGAGGAAACTTAGGAACCTCATCTGAAAGCCAAAAGAATATAACTTGTGTCTAAAGTAAGACAGGTGTTAAAAACATGAAAAATAGTTAAATAACTGTTCTGTGGAAAAAAAGACGTGGTTCTATGTGCAAAAAATATAAGACATATACCAAAATCCCCCACATATTTGAATTTAAAAGGAAAAAAAAGGGAGAAAAAAGACAGGAAAGAGAGAAAGAAAAATTTCCCTCTCTCTTGTACACTTATCCTGCATAAACAATAAAACCTGGGGAGGAAAAAGTGTCTTGTGTAATAAGTGTGAAGAAGAAGAAGGAGAAGAAATGAAATCACTATTGCCTCAGTTCTTGCCTTTTAACCATTGACAATGTCCAAAAAAAAGTCTAACGTTAAGTCACATTCAGCCCTTTGCTTTGGGTGTCTCTTAGCCCTTCAGAATGAGGCTTGTGAACAATTGTCATCACAGCAGCTCCTAGTCGTGAAATACCTGCAGATTACTATGTATATACTGATACTTGAACCACATTCGTTATGCCATAAGGAAGTGTCTTCAACCAGGACATTTGTATGGTTTCACTATATCCAAACCTGGGTAGGCCTGCTGCGGAGTTTTATTTTTAATTTTGTTTCCCCAGGTTACTTCAGCCTTTACCCTCTGTCCCCCCCCGTTTACCCCACACCTACAGTCCATGCCATAGATGGTGCTGCATCGTAACTGTCACTGACATGAACAGAAGTCTAGTCTGTATATTACAATCTACTGCCAAAGGAATTAGGGTGGGATGTGCAAAGCAAGTTGTACATATAAAAACAACAGGGAAAAGGGAAAAAATATGTATGAAAGAGGACACATTTTTATTGCAAGGGTATTTGATTTTTTTCATTATTATTATTTATCTTTTGATCAGTTTCTAAAGATGTCCTAAACTGTGAGGAAAGGAGTTTTTATTGATGCCGGGTAAAAAATTTTGACTTGGAAAAATTAAAGAAGTAAAATGAAAAGGTTAGATGGAATACACACGTCATGCAGTAGTAATAAAGATTAAGGTCTGGGAATATTCAATGGTGAATTTTTTTCTTTTTGTTTCCTTTTTTTTCTTTTACCTATTAAGTCTTGTCATTGAGTTATTTACGTAAAGCCAGTTCAAACAAAATCATCAGTTGAAATAAATTGCTCACAGTTTCAGGAGAATATTTTTAGGTATTATATGGAGAACTTAAAAGAGGATTTCTTATATGACTGAAAAGATTGCCTATGTATCGTTTTTGCATTATTTGGAATGTATGTATGGCTATGCACATGCATACAAACAAACGCAAACAAATAAATAAACACAGACATATGCTTGAAGTTTTTGCACATATACATTTTTATGTACTATATGTATTCACATATAAATGCACACACACTCTCAAACACATGTACAGTAAAGGGACAGACACTCGTCCCTTCCCTACACACATGCAAAGAAATATCTACAAATGTTTATCTATATAGGTATGTCTGCTTTATAAATAATAGATGCTGTGTGGAGCAGATGGTTAAAATCACAGGTCTTCATCAGTTCCTTTTTACATAAAAAAAAAGAAAAAAAGAACAAAAATAAGATGAAGGAATGAAGTCAAAGAAAATCTGACCTGCGAGTTTGCTGCTACCAACTCACAGGATGCAGGGTTCATCCTGATGGCCCATTAGTTTTGCAAACAAAGTCAAGATGCTTTGCTGTATTGCTATAAACAAATGGGCTGAAGTGACAAGGTCAGCTTCAGTCATGTCATTGCATAGCATCAAAAGAATGAATATTCCACTTTTATCCACATTTCTATGAATCACTATTGGCAGCGATGAGGTTGCTGTTTCACACGTGCGCAGAGGCATATGCACATGCACACACATACACACACACACAGACAAGTATGCATATATTATCAAGGAAAAGTAATAAGAAATGTTATTTTTTATCCTTTTTTAAATTGTGTATTGGATATAAGCCACATTGCATTGCATCGTGTATAAAAATTTCCCAAATTTAAGATCCCTCTGATCGGGAAACTGACCTCGGGGAAGGAAAGAGGGACTTAAAATGATACCAAATTGAATGCTTTAAAGAGTCTGACAATAAACTCAAGAAATCAGCTTCTTAGCAAACTCTTAGATATAAGATTGTAGAGGTGTATAAGCATGTGTACGTGATGATGTTGGCACAATGCTTCCAATAAGTTCAAGAAGGCGGCAAGTGATACTCAGCATCACCAATAGCAGTAGACTTGTCAAAGTTGTCGTCATTGTTAGCTTCCAAAACACACCATAGGAAGAAGTAGTATAAAAACATGTTTCTACATAAACAACCAAAGATTAAGAGGGCTTTTGATTTTCTTTTTATCATTATCATTTTATTTTATTTTGTGGAAGAACACACCATTCACAAACAATTTAGGTACAGTAACTTATTTCCTGGTGCATCATATTGCAACACTCGATCTTGTTGTACTTGTACACACTTTGATTTGATTTTAGGCTGTGAAATATATAATGTAAAGTTTTTGATGTGCAACCCTGTCTAGTGCTGTGTGGATGAGTGGTTCCTGATGAAATGTTTACATAGGAAATTCCTAACTAGTAACTAAGCAAATCGAAGTGAATTTTTTCCTCTTTTTTTAATAAACAGACCAAATATATATCAGCAATTTTGATGTTTCATAGTATTTGCAAAGTGTTTTTTAATGTCAATAAGGATTGTGATGGTCCTTAAGCAACACTGTAAAAGACTTGCCATTTCTGGAAAATCTTAAATACTCATTCCAAACTCTATTAAGTGATGTGCAAAACCCAGTATTATTATTGTTGTTCATGTTTATGATTTACACATATATCTTTTGTATATATATATACATACAGTATTTGCACAGGTGATTTTTCATAACATTACTCTTTTAATGTATAGATTTGGTCAAAAAGAAAAGAGAGAGAGAGAGAGAAAGAAAGAAAGAAAGAAAATGAATTAATTGTATTGCTTCCAGTATGTTGCTAGACACAAAAATATTTAGCTTAAGCAGTTAGTAATGGCAAATGAAAAATGACATGAAAATGTGCACATGTAACATATCGCATGCTTTTACATATACTTGTAACATATTGATTTCAATATGAACTCCGCTGCGAGATGTGTTCAGAAGTTAGTGGACACAGATTATGAAGAGCGGTCATAATTTACTGAATAATGAGTGCTCTTAAGTTTGTAGCAATAAAATATTGATCTTTGTGCATATGACATCTTTTATTTATACAACCCTGTTATATGTTTGTGTCTTTGGAAGTTTTTTCTTAATCATGATAGTAATATAAGTGAAGAAACTTTTTACTTCACTTCTTTTTTTTTTAGTCTGGGTGTATTTTTTAACCTCTGCACACGGGACAATGGGTGTGCCAAATGTATTAAGGAAGAAAGAATACGCGGTAAAACTGCTATTAAAATGATCTATGGAAAAAAGAAAAGTTAATTTAGAGTGAGCAAGTCACTGTCTGCATTTTCTTTTTTACAGGTTTAACAACTTCAGATAAAGTTTAAAATTCTTTCAGAAGCATATGAAAAGCCCAACATTAAATTGATTATTATTAACATGTTATATATAACCCAAATGGTAAGAGTGCATCTTTCTTTATTAAACTTATTCATCATATGTTGTTAGATACTTTTTGGTGAAATGAGAATAATCATAAATACGATTAACTGATAAAGAGGTACCCCCACAGAGAATGGGATACAAAAATACATTCTTGTGCACATAGTTACAAGGACATGTTAGGCTATTTTGCTATTCATTTAATCAGTTATCTTGTAATCATGCTTCTTGTATATGATCATCTTTCAGTGCTGGATCCAAGCAAACAATAATCTAGAGCTGACTGATTAGGTCTCCCTGTAGGGGCATTGGCCAGGCTGGTTGTGGGCGTTGAGCTCTCTAGGACCAGGGAAGGCGCGGGTGCAGTGGACACAGAGGAAGGTCCTGACGGAGTAGTGGGAGTCCAGATGGTCGAGGAGGGTTGTCATGTCCGTAGTCACATACTCACAGTTGATGCATTTAAGGGGCCTGACACCTGCAGGGTTTTCCTTGCTCTGGTCCCCAGTTCTGTGAGGAAGGAGAGGTATGAGGAAAGGAACAGGTAGGGGAAAAAGTAAGGAAGTGGTGTGGGAACAAGAGAAAGGGGTGGAGAAAAGAGGGAAGGAAGGGCTGGGTGAAAGTGAGCAAAGCAAGAGGTGGGAAAAGTGAAGAAAAGGAGGGAAGGAAGGGTTGGGGAAAAGAAGGGGAAAAAAAGGGAAGGATGGGTGGGGAAAGTGAGCAAAGCAAGGGTGGGGAAAAGGGGGAAGGAAGGGGTGGGGAAAAGAAGGGATGGTGGGGAAAAGAGGGAAGGAAGTGGAGGAGGTAGAAGTGGGGGAAAATGGGATAGGGGAGAAAAAGAGGATGACAAAGGGAAGAGGGTGTGGGGGATCGGGAAGAAGGGCGATGTGTGGGACGGAGTAAAGGAGGCAGTGTTGAAAGATGGAAGGAAGGGAGGGGTCCCAGAGGGAAGGAGGGGATGCAGGAGTGCCATCTCAGAGTCTTTGCTTTCGGAAGTTGCAGTGTAAGCATGACATTGACCACAACAAGATATCTCATTTTTAAAAGTATGATTCTCTTTAAAGATAAGATGAGGATATTCGGGTCTAAGTACAGCAATGTTGAACCGAGAGAAAAAGAGAAAGAAGGTATATTAGCTATAACCCAGCTTGATGGGAAGCATTTCCAGACAAGAAATCACAGCTCTGTGATTTAAGGACTTATGTAGCTTATGTATTCTATGTAGCAAATTCCAAGCAAGATCAATGTAGGCACTTATATAATCCTTCCATGTAGCCACTTAGAAGTTCACCAATCTGTGTAGCCAACGTGCAGGGCTCAACGTGCCCATGCCCATACCCTTGGCAACGCGAGATGTGAACTTGGAAATGGAGGACCCCCCCTCCCATCCCACCATTTTAAATCACCTGCACACGCGCACGTACCTGGCTCTGGCGTGGCAGGGGGTGGCGGCAGGGAGGCAAGGGAGGCGGGCGGCGTCGCGAGAGCAGGGGAGAGGAGAGAGCCCAGCGACTGCTCGAGAAGGCCACCGACGAAGCCCCGAACTTGGCCATGTTTGAAGGGAAGTCGGGCACTAACCCTGGTGTGAGTGAGTGAGAGTGTGAATGTGACTATTAGTATGTGTGTGTGTGTGTGAGTGTGAGTGTGAGTGGTGAGTGTGAGTGTGTATGTGAGTGTGATGTTATGTGTGTGTACGTGTATGTACGTGTGTGTGTGTGTGTATGTGTGTGTACGTGTATGGTACGTGTATGTACGTGTGTGTGTGTGTGTGTGGTGTGCGTGTGTGTGCGTGCGTGTGCGTGTGCGTGTGTGTGTGCGTGTGCGTGTGCGTGTGCGTGTGCGTGTGCGTGTGCGTGTGTGTGTGTGTGTGTGTGTGTGTGTGTGTGTGTGTGTTGTGTGTGTGTATGTGTGTGTGAGTGTGTGTATGTACGTGTGCGTGTGCGTGTGAAAAAAGAGAGCTTATTGTGTTGTTGTTTTTTCGTATTGTAATATATTTAGTTTTTGAAAAATCTGAACCCTCCGTCATTGTCAGCCTGAAAGAGAACTTTGGCAAAAAGCAAAAGGGGAAACGAGAGCACAGAAAGATTTAAAACAAAATAAGTACCAGATTTGGGAAAGAAATTTACACAATAAAAAAACAAGTAATAAACAAAACACGGGTATGACAATAGCAAAAAGTGACGGCAGCGAAAATCACATTTTCTGAAAATTTGAACCGAATCAGACCCAGAAATGCAATATTAAAAATCCGTTACGACCCACAAGCAGCTAACCCAACAAATAATTCACGTTCAACTACAAAATAACTTCTTTTATGACTAGTTCGCACACAAACAACAGAAGGGTTTCTGTTTCGTTTTATTAATGTTATTAGATTATTTCTTACCACATTAACATTCATTCCTATTGATTAGAATATTGCTCTACACATGAACATTCACGTACTCACGCACACGCACACACGCACGCACGCACACACACACACACACGCACGCGCATGCACACACACACACACACACACACACACACACACACACACACACACACACACACACACACACACACACACACACACACACACACACACACACACACACACACACACACAATCCCTTGCCGTTGTTGCCGTGGGGGGGGGGGGTTAGGAGACGGAGACTGAGACCCAATACAGGGATCTCCCTGCCTAGGGCCTCAGCCCTCGACCCAACTAATTTTGCATGGTCTTTTCCCCCTCCAGCTTTTGTTTCCGGCCCTTCTTCAATCCCTTCTACCACGGTACTCCCGATTTAATTGTGTAGCCCGTACCCCGTACAGGGCACTGGGGGGTGGACTGTTTATTCCCTTTACATAATCAAGGCTTCCCATGGCCAGTAATGAAGATGTAATACCCCTGAGGCTTGCCCTTCATCAAATAGCCCACCGGCTCCCGACCCCAGGCTCTCCTTTGACCACGACTCCGAACACTGAAACTACTACCCACTCCTCAATGCCTACTAGTGCATTACCCACCCAAGCAGAGACTCAATCTCCAGAAGACATTCCTACCCTCCCAACTTCCTCAAATTCATCAACTCTACCCCTACAACCTTCTTCATCAAACACCCCAACCTCCCTTATTACTACCTCTCCGTAATACTACCCCCCTCAACAACACTCCCGCTTCCACACGCCCCCGTCCTTCTACCACCACCAACCCTACAAATATCTTAACTACTCTATTTAGCCCAGCTAAATGGGACCGATTTTTCGTGATCCCCCTACAGCTCCTTACTCAGGCAACACTTCTCTTTCAACAATGTCTCCAAAAACATGTAGGCAGAGTCCCTTTCCGTACCCGACGCGATCGCTCCCGTCTCGTAACAGTCAGATCTGAAGCTGAAGCTATAGCATTATCAAAACTAACTGATCTCTCTGGCAACCCCATCCCTGCAGAACCTCATCCAACTCTTAATACTTGTACCGGAACTGTCTCTATCTCCCAGCAAACTGCCCAGTCGATACCAAAGATTGGTCAGATTGTGGAGAAGACTTGCTCGGCTGCCTCAAAGACCAGGACGTGATATCAGTACATTGCTACTCCATTCCCCCTAGAGGTCATCGAAAGAAACCCACCAACATTGCCAAAATTACTTTCAGTACACGTGACCTTCACATTCATATCTACATTGGTGGACAATCCCTCCCTGTTCAACCATACCAACCTCCTTCCCGTCAGTGTCAAAATTGTTGGCGATTTAGACATCCTGCCACTGTAGCTCCACAGACTGATGCCCCCTCTGTGCCCAACCCGGTCATAACAGATCAAACTGCCCTGCACAAACACGCACGTGCTCCTACTCCCTCTCAACACAACCTAACCCCTCAATTCGATTCCACATCCGATATCCACCCTCCTGAATCCATCCCCTCTTAGCCATAGCACCCCTACACCCCTTCCTCCTAATCCCTCCCAAGACAACACATCCCCTTCAACTCCAACTATCCATCTTTCCGATACCCATCCTCCTACCACTAATATTCCCCCCACACCACTTCCTCCTTCTCCCTCCCAACACAACCCACCCCCCTCAACTCCAGGTATACGCACATTCTCCCTCCCTCCATCCTTCCCACTCCCTCCCGGATACACACGGGAATCACTCATGTCACAACACCCCTAGCTCCCCCCCCCCAGTTCCCCAACACGTACCGATGCTTTCACTCATAAAATCAGATATAGCTCTCCTACATTGGAATATTCGCGGTTTTCGTTCTCACAGACCAGACCTACATCATATCCTTGCTTCTTATAACAACCTGTTCTCCTTCCTCAGACGCATAAATATCCTTCACT